AACCAATTCAGTTCTCATAGGGATCCACAGGACTGTTATTATCACCACTTTGCAAGTGAGAAAACCAAGGCACAGAGAGGTTAAGCATCTGAAGTCATACTCACACAACTAAATGCAGGTATACTGAAGCGAAGTCAGTGAGTCATCCTTTGAAACAGTTATTCTAGGCTGTCTTTTTATGGTGAAGACCTTGAGATTGGGAATTAGTCCTATATAACCTTTGATCTTATTCCTTGGGCTGTATTCCCAGTACCTGACATGGGGCTTTTTAGATCGTAGGGGCTCTATATATACTTGCTGAATGTAGGAAGCATTTGTTTAAAATTATTTATTTATTTACTTGAAAGTCGAGAGTTACACACAAACACAGATCTTCTGTCTGCTGAAAGAAGATGGCCAGATGACCTGACCAAAGCCAGGAGCTTCTTCCAGGTCTCACATGTGGGTGCAGGGGTCCAAGCACTTGAGCCATCCTCTGCAGCAGCTGGGACACAAGCTGGTGCTCAAATAAGATGCTGGCGTCACAGGTGGTAGCTTTACCCACTACACCACAATGCTGACTGCGGGAACCATATGTTTACATTTCTGTAAGTCACTGGAAAGAGGGACCATGCCTTATATCCACTCCCCTCCCCAGCCTGGTCCCCTGCCATGACCACCACATGTCAGCTTTACCCTTCATATACTATTAGTTAAATGCTGTTGCATGGAGAGTCAGAAAGAAAATACGGGGCACAGAGATAGAGAAGACTGTGCACAGAAGGGAAACTGAAGAGTGGCAAAAATATTTGCTTTCCAAAGCAAGCAGCTTGAAGGAAGGAATGGAAGGGATGCAACTGGACATGTTGAGGGAAAGGACAGTGAGCAGTCAGGTAAATGGAAATCAGTGCGTTCAGTGGTGCAAGGCGAGTGCAATGGTGAATGGATGGGTAGTAATAGGTACAGACACATGTGGGCATGTAGGTAAGGATGGGGCCAAAGCTTGCCAGAGCTTACGACGTCTCAAGAGAAGATGAAAATTTGGGTCATCTGTGAGATCTTTCGTATTTTAAACTGTGGGCAGGCATTTCAAATTAAAGGGAAAATAAACACTCTGTGGGTTAAACTTGGTGAATGTAGCTGGGTGAGATCCTAAGTTAAAAGCACAGGCCAGTCTCTAGGGTGCCTCTCATAACTGTAGGAGGATGTTGGGAACTTATGTGTGTTAATATGTAAATGATCATGTCTCCATCTTTGGGGGTAATAGAACTGTCACACTGCCTTGTGCATTCTTTGATGGCCTACAAATACTGCTTGTTTGAGTTGCCCTGTGATTTTCAGAAGGAGTGAACATACAGTTTTTATTTATTTTAAAAGTAGAGTGACAGTGAGAGAGGAGGAGAGAACGAGATCTTCCATTTCTGATTCGCTCCCTGAATGAATGCAGCAGTTCCTATCTCCTGTGTGGGTGCCAGGGGCCCAAATATCTGGGCCATTCTCCCCTGCCTCCTTAGGTGCATTATCAGGGAGCTGGATCAGAAGCTTGGAAGCTGTGCAGCTGTGACCTGAACTGTTGCTACAATATGGGATGCTAGCAGTAGTAGTCTTAAAATGAGAATTTTGTTTCCTTCATTTGTCAGGCTCATCCCTGGACCAGAAACAGACAAATCATGGCTGATCCCTTAAGAAATGGAGACAACATAGACAAGTGACAAACCCAGCTGAGGAACCTGATATGTGGCAGCCTGTGCTGTTTGGTTTGGGACAAAAAGAAAGGTGAGAGTGGTTTGGGAAGGCTTTGGGAGAACGGGGTGGGGGGAAGAGGGCTGGGTGCTCGGAATGGAGCAGGAGACAATGAACCTCTGAAATCAAGCAGGATGGAGAGCAAAATACAGGCGATGGCAGCCACTTCATCCTCCCGCCGCTTCGTCCTCATAATTAGGTCCACGTGTCCTGAGTATCCATGTGGACCCCTGAGAACAGAGAACAGCGGTGCTTTCAAGAAGAGCCAGGCCAGCTCTCTGCTGTGGCCAGGGAGTGCAGTGGAGGATGGCCCAAGTGCTTGGGCCCTGCACCCACATGGGAGACCAGGATAAGTACCTGGCTCCTGCCATCGGATCAGCGCAGTGTGCCGGCCACAGCGCACCGGCTGCAGTGGCCATTGGAGGGTGAACCAACGGCAAAGGAAGACCTTTCTCTCTGTCTCTCACTCTCACTGTCCACTCTGCCTGTCGAGGGTAAGGAATAGATGACAGTGAAACAAAACACAAAAAAGAAGAGTCAGAGTTGAAATGGGCTCTGGTTGGTGCTATAGCCTGAGGCCCCACCCTCTGTGCATGGGATGTCTGGTAAATAAGAAATTGATGAATTGGTCATTTTAAAAGGTTCTGGAAGAGCAGATAATTTTTAAAAGATTTTTGTTTCATTTATTTGAAATGCAGAACTACAGCAAGAGAGCGAGAGAGAGACTGAACTTATATCTGCTGGTTTGCTCCTCAAATGGCTGCAACTGCTAGGACTGGGTCAGGCCAAAACCAGGAGCCCATAACTCTATTCAGGTCTCCCGTGTGGGTGGCAGGGTCCCAAGCATTTGGGCCATCTTTCACTGCTTTCCCAGGATCGTTAGTAGACAGCTGGATGAGAAGTGTAGCAGGTGGGGATTCGAGCCAGAACTCACGTGTGATGCCAGCATCACAGACATTGACCTCATCCACTGGGCCACAATGCCTGCCCCAAGGAGGAGATGATTTAACGGGACAGAAGCATGAGTAGGAGTTTGCAGGTAAACAGGGGACAAGAGTAAAATGTGGTAATGCACAACAGGAGACTGCAACTTCAGGAAAATCAAATCAAGCAAATCAATGAATGAGGGAAGGAGAGAATGAGTGTGCGTGTGTGTGTGTGTGTGTGTGTGTGAGGGGAAGAAAGAAAGTGCACGCACAGGTCTCTCTGGGCTCTGTTTACCATGTGCATAAGGAACTTGGACGTTCCACTGCTGGCAGGACAGGATTGGTTTCACTTTTGTGCAGTCAGCACCCTGATCAGAAAGGTTTGGACTTGATGGGATGTGATCTGATGGCCAGAGAGAAGACGACTTTTGAATCTATGAATAGTGAGACCAATTTGGAGACTTTTGAAATAACAAGGATGGGAAATCAGGCATGTGGGCCAAGTATTATAAAGTTTCTGGTAGCTCTGAGTCGAGAGTCTTTGGGAATTAAAAGCAGGAAATATTTCCAATTATAACTCGGAAAGGTTCATAAGAACACATGAGAGCAAAAGTTACCCTTACTCAGAAAACGGTTCCCTCCCGGGATGGGTTTTTCAGCAGCTCTATTTCTGATTAGTCGTGGGCTGCACGTGCCTGACTCGGTGTCACATTGAGTTGCGCACTGAAACAGCCACACAAACACGAACTCAGGCAGGTATAAAACCTTTGGACCATCTTTAGTTTAGGAATTTAAATACAAGGAACTGTTAGGTCTCACAGTGGCCCCCATATGAAAACATAAATCATGCCAAATTTGTTTGAAATGTTGTCTTTAGAAGGTTGTGTGTTTTGACAAACCTTGCAGCAAATTTGGTCCAGCTTTTGGATTTGTAATGAAACCTGAAACCAAGCATGCTGGCCTGCCTTGGGGTCTCCTAGCACAAGTTCCAAGCAGCCTTAGCCTAATTCCTCCCCTAATCTCATCCTGGCAAGCGACATTGCTGTGCTGGGCTATGCTGCTCTAAGTTTGGGGGCGAACTCTTCCTGCAGTGGAAAAGGACTGACCAAGATGGCAATTTGGAGTCATTTCTGTGCGAAGTGTAAATTGCAGAATTAGCAGTAACTTATCCCCTGGTGGCCAGTGACTTGGAGATACCCCAAGCCATGATTGGGGCAGAAAGTTAATTAATCTGCTTATTAAAAAGGAAGAAATGTCTCATTTGCATGCATTTGCATGCAGGTCTGTGTTCCTCGTGCTTTTTGGTGGTCCTGTAATACCAGTGACCCAGCTCAGTGTTGGCTCAACACATTTAAATTGTGCCTGGGCTTTGTTCAAGTGTCATCTGGCTGGTTATCATTGATTCCAGCAGAATTTGATTATCTTTCAGATCCCTTAATTCTCCATAGAGTTTCTATCCCCTCCCATAGGCTGTTTGGATTTTCTTCCAGCCACCATACACCACAGTTGGGAAAAGATTTATATATTTGACCAATGTTGGAAAAGAAAGACCTCGTCTCCATCAGAGTTGGGCATGTTATTTGGGGATGATCCATTCAATTATCTGCAATTTCCTACTCAACTGAATTTTCCATGGTCATTTTGGTGGCAGTTTTCTTCTTTGCTTTTCCTATCTTGTTGGGAGGTCTGCTTTTAGCAATTTTTTTCCCTCTTAGAAAAAAAAAAAAAAACACAAACCACTGCCCCATGGATTTATCTTCGAAGGACTGTTTTTTACCTGAAAATGCTCAGGTAACCTGAATCCAAGCCTCCTTAAAGGCCTTTAAAGGGCTTGAATGAAGTCTTGGGAGGAGAGCGAGGGGGCTGGGAAGAGGGGAGGTTGGGGAGGGGTGGAAATGCAAAGAATGCAACAAGCTCTTGGAACAGCAGCTAGTAAAGCCAGAACTCTACAGGGAGATTCGTGCCCAGAGAAATCTTTGCATGGGAGGGAATGACCCGCTCGCTGCATTTCGGGGGAGCCACGGCCCACGTTTCTGGGTTTCCTAGTAATCACATTTCTGATACACGACACCGGGGCGGCTGTCAGGGGTGAGCGCCTCAGACCGCAGGGGTGGGGGGGTGGGGGGAACCACCTCTATGCTAACAAGCTCAGCAACCAGGTTGTAAAGGGTCCTGGCTGGAGGAAAAAAAATTCAAACCAAACCTTAGACCTCTTGTCAGCCTGGGAGGAGAATTATATTTTTGAACTAGTCCACAGTGTGGACAGGAAGTGACCTCTCCACAAACTGCTTCTTTAAAAACAAGCAGTGGTGCCTAAAGCTATCCAGCCTCTCTCTCTCCTCTCTCTCTCTCCCCTTCCCTCCCTTCCTCCTTACCAGCCTCCCTCCCTCCCTCCCTCTCTGGAGCTCCTGCGCTCTCCCTCTCCCTCCTCTCCCGTGCTCCCTCCCTCCCTGCCGCCCTCCCTCCGCCCGCTCTCCCGCTCCTCTCCAGCTAGAGAGGCTCCCCCAGCAGTTCCCAGCCAGTGTGTTCTGCCTGCCTGCCTGCCTGCTCTGTGTGTGTGTGCGTGTGTGTGTGGGGGAGCGTGTGTGCGTGCGCCTACTTTGTACTGTGAGGAACACAGAGCCCATGTGCCCTGCATGGACGTTTCTGACACTCTGTTGAGCTTGATTTCCGACACACAGGCAAGATGTCCAGCACGCCACATGACCCCTTCTATTCTTCTCCTTTCGGCCCATTTTATAGGAGACATACACCCTACATGGTGCAGCCAGAGTACCGAATCTATGAGATGAACAAGAGACTGCAGTCTCGAACAGAGGTAAGTACTCCAGCCTCGGGATGTGTTTGTGTGTTTTTGTTAAACTGTGCACGGGCTTTTTCGAGGGGTCCTGGGGGGCTGGGAAGCTATGGGAAGTGTCCCACCAGATACTAGCTCGAACGCCGAAATGAGCGCAGCAGTGAACCCACTAGTTTGAACGCCGGGTTTCCAGGCACAGCAACTCTTGGAGCAGGGGACAGTTTCTGCCGGAATCTTGAAAGACACAACCCAGCACTTGATTCCCATGCCGGGTCTCCAGAAATGCTACTCACCCAGAACCGGCTCTTTGCAGCCTCTCAGCCGGTCCTGGTCGTGTTTCTTGAGATGCAGTTCCAAGGGATTTTGTGATCATTTGCTTTGGCGAAATATACATATGTACATGAGATAATCTCTCTCTCTCTCTCTCTCTCTCTCTTACAAATCCCGGAGGAAGTCTGCTTTGACATGCGTTTGCTTTTCCAACTTCAACACTGAGGCGTGGGGGGGAGGCGAAACAGTGACCCTGCATACTTTTCAGAACTAGCCCTGGAGGGACGCATGTTTGTCTATTTCCGTGGTAGAGGCAGAAATCAGTTGCTTGGGGCGAGGGCGTGCTAGACTTCCCTGTGGAGATGGCAGTACCTCCTGAAGACTCTACCTTAGGACAGCAGCTGCCTGTGCCTTCAAGTCAGCTCTCGTTTTTTGCATATTTGTAATCCCCTGCCTGAGAGAGGGGGAGGCTCAGCCTCAGAGGCAGCCAGCAACTCTGGGAGAGCGCAGAACTTTCAGAACTTTCTCCATGCAAAACTCCAGGCTGGCCTCCTGCAATTTAAATATTTAATGTCACTTGACTTATTCTCTGTGCTACTTGATGGGCAGGTTTGTGCTGCCGGTTTGTCCCTTTGCCTATATGCTGGGGCTTTGTGTTGAAGTGGTTTCAGAAGGAGTTTGTTGTAGGTGCACCAAAGTCGCTTGGGGAAGTAGAAATCGCTGGGAATTGACTCTGCTCTGCAGAGCACAAGCACCCAGAGGGGTCCTGCCGAAGGGCTTTCAGAGAGAGCTTTGGTGAACTTTCAGATTGCAGATGAACTCCTAACTCGGGGAAGGGACTCAATTAAGTTTGTATTATAAAATGAAACACTCTTGCTTGAATTGTCAACGGAGCCATGGAGAATTCATGACGTGTGTTGGGTTTAATACAGCTAACAAGATGTGACCTGCTTTCTCATTGGCCAACTGCTGGACCAGGGCTGGTGTTTTCCTAAAAGCTGGGCTGTCTTCTTCACTACTAGTTTCTCTATAGGTTGATTCTCCCTGGATGGTCAATGTCATGGCAGGCACTGTGGTTCTCTCTAGAAGCCACTTGCCTAGGAGGTAAACTCTGCTTGCTTAGGGAGCTGAGCTGCTAGCAGCCAGTGATGTGTTCCTGTTACCTCGTGTGTGTGTGTGTGTGTGTGTGTTACAGTTCCTCTACTCCATTCAGATCTTTGCAACTATGTTGAGCTCTTATGTTCTAAACTCTTGGTAGACATCCCCTGCTTTCAGACTTAGGATAGAACAATACTTCTAGTTTGGGCACACATTAATTGCAGTATACTTCTGAAGAAAAGTCCTTTTAAAGTAGGATTAGTTTTTAGAAAGTGACCAGAGGCCGTTGTATCTCAATTCTTTAACAGCCACAGGATTTGAAAATAACCTGTATCACCTCACATTTCAGAAAGTTTGTGAGAAGTTGCCAGAGGGGTTCCCCCCCCCTCCACGAACCCGTAGCTGATGGGCACGCGGCTGTCCCCTGAAATCTGTATGCCTTGCGTTCCTTTCCTATCACGGGGCACCTCTGAACCCTCACCAAAACCTGCAGAATGCAATAAGCCCCACATTTGTTTCACATTTGAGATAAGAGACGTGAAAAACGCCCCAGTAAGATCATGTTTTTAAAAAATGACACTGTTTTTCTGAGAGCTCAACTCGGGGAGTCCTAACTTTTGGATCATAGGGTATTACTTTGAAAGATTTTACACTGAGTAAAAAATAAACTGTTTCAAGACTCAAAAACAGAGAGACTCGCTCTAGCAAATATTAATGGTTCCTAGCAAATCTCTGCCCTTATCAGTAAAGCACTGTGAATTATTTTCTCGTGGGTTCTAGAGTCAGCCCCAGTATATTTTCCTACCTTAGTAGTTCTTTCTTATTATTATCCAAATCATTGCCTTGCCATCTCCTTCTTCTTTGCTAAGCAATAAAGGATGTCATGAACCCAATGCCATAAATGTGTTTGCATTTTATTGGAAGAAATGTGAGGATCAAGTAATTGCACCAAGATATTTCAATATTAACATTAAATATTAAATTTTGATCGTGGTGTGTATTTAGGAAACATAACTTCATGAAGAAGTTACACTATGCCTTTACCAATAGTGGTTATTTATAATAAAGTTCCTCTGAAACTTGGGAGAGATTGGTTGGACTAAAACAGTGATTCCCAGCAAGAGTTATCAGTTTATTAACCCACAAAGTGAAATAGATTGTTGAATGTTTACTTTAGAATCTAACCAATGCATCCAACCATTGGGACAAGAGACAGTTTCTCTCTCTCTCTCTCTCTCTCTCTCTCCCTCCCTCCCTCTCTCAACACCCCTACCCCATGTTCTACTGCTCCTATTCCTGTGTTCCAATACTCCTATAGTACATGATATTATTTTAGAAACTCCTGATACCATACCTTGTCACCCCATTAAGATAGCATTCTCAATTCTCTATTCTTTTTGGAACATAGACTTAGCTAGAAAGAGGCATTAGCAAATCAGTTTGTAGTGAAGAAATTGTAATCAAGTTTGTCGAGATTTCCTAGAAACCTCCCTTTTATGGAAAGAAATCAGTGAAGAACCCTAATGTTTCCTCTTCCTTTCCCTGGCTGATCCCCAGGGCGTTCCCTCGTGGATAAGGACACATTTCTTCCAATGAAATCAAATGGCAGTCCTCACAAGCCAGTTTTAGTTTAAAGAGCATTGAACTGGACTTAATCCTATTTCTAACTCTTTTCTGTCACTTCCTAACTAGTTTATGGTGGATCTTGGTTTCTCGTCTGCCCATTACCTGCAATTCCCTTTAATTTGAACATTTTGATTCATTTTCTTTGGTATGAGAAAGTATGAAATAGAGAGTGCAGGCATTATTTGTGGTCCAGCTTCACTGGTGGAACTGAAATAACTGGGGAGTCGTGAAGCAAAGTTGAAGGTGTGGACCCTGTCAGTCCAGCAGAAGGCACTGGGCAAAGCAGATACTCAGCATTTGTTGAATAGTCAATCAATGAATCTGTAGGTAAAAGAGGGGAGAGAATTTGAGACCCGTGACAGGTGAAATCAGCACCTTCCCTGAGACACACAATTTGGATGTCTTTGAGGGTCTGGTATCATTTTTTGAGCTGAAGTTGGTTTGGCATCTGCTTCCTACAGGGCTCTCCTTACAGGGCGCTCATTGCTCATCTCCTGCCTTTATGTTATCCTGAGACTATCAGATTCCTCCTCTCTGGGCCACAGGGAAGCAAGTGTCTAAAACACCCTACGACTCCTGGCCTCTTTTGAAAAGAAAATGGACACAGTAAAAAGTAAATAAAACAGCAAAAATGTGTTTAAGATGCTGCTGGCTGTTCTAGGAAATACAATTTTTTTTGGCAACATCAAAATCACAGTGGAATTTCATAAAGAAAAGTGTAGGTGTCCCCCACCTCCTTTTAAAATGAAATTAAGAGGAACTTTTTGAGCTGGGTCTCACTGTTGTTGCCTCTGTAGTTCCCAGGCGGGTGGGGAAAGGGTTAATTTTCTGTTGTGTGTGTGCCACCATTAGTTGACCCCATGTCTTTCCAAAACTCCTGTATTTGAATGGTTTCTTGTGGCAAGTTTATTTTGGAAGAATCCACGTACCACTGGACAATCCTTCAGTTCAGCACTGCACACACAGTACAGGCAGACGGGATATAAAAATCCGTCCTAGAGCCTCGAATTTGTTTTGTGAAAAGCTTCAATCAAAACAAAAACAGTATAGTTTCCTAAAGTCTGTGCTATTCAGTGAAAATGGGTAAAACATATGAGTGACATCATAGTGAACACTAAGTGAAGGGAATTAGCTGTATTGGATTATTATAGAATTTCAGAAAGTTTATCAAGAACAGTTATGGAATTCTTTGTTATCCTAGGTAACTTTTCCAGATCTTATTTCCTCATTCAAATGACCAAAAGTGTCTCCATTCAGATGCAGATTTTGAAACCCTTTTTTTCATGTTGCATTGTGTGATAATTTTAGTACCCTACCATAAACACCACGGAAGTGTGAGCTTCCTTAGGTATTTCTTCTTTTTAGAGATTTTTTTTTCTTTTATCAATGGTACACATCCCACTCCAGAAAGAGAAATCTGATTACAATGGGAAACTGTTCACACAGGATTTTCTGAGCATTACAGTGTTTAGTTTCACAGGGTTTAATATGAATGTTAAAAATGTTTGAAGACCTTGAAATTTAAATCAGCTGTTTTTCACCCCTCCTCAGTATAACTCTGCAACTCCCTGGGGACTGGGGACTGGGGACGGGGGAGGGGGATTCTCTTTTCTTTCAGCTACATTTTTATATACTTCAGTCACAGGGTTTCCCGTTGTAACATCATGTTTATTCATGGAATAGCTTAGTATCATTGATGTTCAGATGGAATCTAGTTAAAATGAGATTAGGTTATTTTGGATAAGTGGGAAAAAAAAGAAAAACTGCTTTGTGATAACTTGGAGTTGCCCTCCCCACTCCAAAATGTAGAAAGAAAAATGTTATGTTCCTCTGAGAGGTATAGGAATGATTTTCAGTGTTAAAAACAGAACTTTCCAAGTTTTTTGAAGGGGGTTGGTGAGGGGTTGGGGGAGGGGCTTGGGCGGTGGTAAGGGAAGCTATTTTGAAAATGTTAAATGAAACCAAAAGTGCAGTTTTAAAAATGAGAACTTCCAAACTCTTATTTTTCAGGCTCCCTTCATGGCCTC